CCAAACTCAAGATAAACTCAAGATATATATATATCTTATACACACACACATATACATATTCTCTATATATCTATATCTATCCAGATATCTATCCAGATATAGATATAACACACACACTCACACTAATCACAGTACTGGAGCTCCTTTCCTGGATCTACAGCGGGGGTGGGGTGGGAGGCGGTGGGATTCTGGCGGGGAAGGGGCAGCAGGGTTCGCGAGGAGCAGAGGACGCGCCGTTTCCGCCTCCCCCTTCCCAGGAGGAGTCACAGTCACTCCGGATCCACACGTGTCAGCGAGCAGAGAGGGAGTGGCAGCCTGCTTGCTCCGCCCGAACTAGAGTAGGAGATTCCCCCGCCGATATCCAGAGCGAACCCCGCATCATGGCCTCACCTGTGCCAGTCGCCCCTCAAAAGCTTCGGGAGAGGGGCTCCCGCTTCCGGCTCCGCCCACGCCCAGCCTCCAAGCAGGACAGGCAGCTGAGCTGCCCAATCGCCCGAGGGTCTCCTCGAGGATCCCGCCTCCCGCAGCGGGGCCGGGATTGGTCCGAGGGGCGGACGATTGGCCAACGGCAGTGCAGCGCGGTTGAAGGCGGTTGCGGTTGCTATGCGGTTGCTATGCAGACTGCGGTTACTATGCAAACTGGGCTGCCCATTGCCCACTCGAACGTTTGGGGTTTTTTGGCGGTAGCGGCGGTTTCTGCGCTCCTCAGTTTCCCTCAGGCCGAGCGGCAGATTCAGTCTGGGAGGGCATCGCGGCAGAGGCTTCCGCGGTTGCTCGGCTGCTGGGTTATTGTTGTCGTCCCCCCCCCCCGCCAGTATTGATACCGGCTCACTTTTTCTCTCGCTTCCGTTAGTTCCCTCAGACGGAACGGCTTTCTAAACCCGCTCAAAAGAGGCGGGGTGGAGGGGAGGCGGACAGGACCCCAAAACCTCATTCGCAGGGTGACGCTAGAAGTTAGGGGGAGCAGCAGGGAGGACTCCCTCAGGGAGAATAGAGGGGCCTGAAGGGGTTTGGGAGGCAAAGGCTGTCAGAATACGCCTCACTGGCAACGCGGAGGGATTCACGACAGATTCTGACCTAAAAACGAACCAGTAGGCCAATATGGCCATCAATTATTGGTCAACGGACAAAGCGGCGGGAGAAATGGAGTTTCCCTCATGTTTTCTTCATAAAAACACTGAGGGACAAGAGAGGCATATGTAGAAGTGCTCAAACTGAAAAAGAGAGTGACCAAATGTGAGTCCTGACCTAACAATGAACCAGAGGGGTCCTGAAGGGGTTTGGGAACTAAAGGCTGTCAGAAGACTCCTCACTGGCAATGCTGAGGGGAGAAGAGGGTGATTCAGGACAGGTTCTAACCTAAAAACAAACCAATAGGCCAGTGATGGCAAACCTTTTAGAGACCGAGTGCCCAAACTGCAACCCAAAACCCACTTATGCATCATGGGTGCTGGGTGGGCGTGGCCCATTGGCTGGGCGTGGCTGCGGTGGTAATGGCAGACTGGGTGGGACTAAAAAGTTCAATCAATCAATTCTAACTTTGATTGATTATATTGAACTTTATTTTTTGCACACAGCGGTGGAGGCTTAAAGCGAAAGGTTTTATAAAACCCAGCTGAAGGCCTAGAACTGGGATGACAGCACGCGTGCCCACAGAGGGGGCTCTGAGTGCACTTCTGGCACCCGTGCCATAGGTTTGCCACCACTGCAATAGGCCAATATGGCCATCAATTATTAGTCAACGAACAAGGTGATGGTAGAAATGGTGTTGCCTCATAAATGTTTCCTTCATAGAAACACTGAGGGACAAGGGAGGCATACGAGGAAGTGCTCATACTGAAAAAGAGAGTGACCGAATGCGGGGTCCTGACCTAACAATGAACTAATAGGCCAATATGTCCTCCAGATATTGGTCAAAGGACCAGGGAGTGAAGGGTGTTGGAGCAGAGAGGTTTCCTCCTGAATCTGCTGATGAAGGAAAAGAGTATTTAGAAGTATGTGTGAGAGCTTAAGTGCTAAATCTCATCCGGATGTTTTCTCTGTCCTATGATTCCCTGTCCTTTGCTTGGATAGTTCTACTGATTTAAAAGTTTACTCATGTACAAGAAGGGCATCGAAACAGGATATGTGTATGCTGTAGAAATGGAGAGGATATACCAAAGCCAGAAGAGAGATGTGCTGTATTCCCAATTTTGGAATTTAAAATCAAGTATCATTGCCTTTTGCCATAACGGCTAGGTAAGTACCTGCCATTTTCATAACAATCTTTTTTTGGAAGAAGTAATCATAAGAAACTTAAAGAGAGAGGAGTACCCAGGAGTGTGCTGAAGCAGAAGGTAACAAGGCCACTATTGTAATATTTTACAATGTTTTAGATTTGTTTATATTATAGATACCGTAGCTTTTAGCAGCGAAATTTGCACCAAGCTTAAACAGGCAATCATATTTTAGAGCAAGTATAGACTGTATCCCAGAAGAAAGTTGCTAAGCTTTCACATTCCTTTCTTATCAGCTGCAAAAGTATTTTTCTTGTCTATGCTGTTTCACTAAACTGTCTTTGCTGTAAATGAACTCTAAAACATAGGAACTTCATGATTGCAGCATAGTCCAATGTTCATAGTTTTACTAAAAACAATTTGGACTGTCTCCAATTACTTAGTGTTTCTTGATAAGATTTACTTTGTCAGACCTGACATGGACTCTGCTCATATTCTAGAACAGGGCTTTTCAACCTTTTCACCCATTGTACCACTTTTCGGATAAGGCAATATCCGAGTACCACCACTTGCAAACAAGGTATCAAAAACTTGACACACCCCCCCAAAAAAAGGAAAAAAATGAGAAAGTACAGGTAGTCCTTGACTTACAACAATTCACTTAGTGACTGTTTGAAGTTACAAGCAAATTATTACCATTTTTCACACTTATGACTGTTGCAACATCCCCAGGGTCTTGTGATTTACATTCGGATGCTTGGCAACTGATTCATACTTATGACATTCAGTGTTCCAGGGTCATGTGATCAATGGCCGGGGGGGCATGGCCAGCTGATCACTCAGGTTGCAGGGTGCCTGTGGGGGGGAATCAGTGGGTCTCTGGTGGAGGGGGATGCGACTGGGGCAGGTGCCTGCCTGCCTGCCTTCCCTCCCTCTCTCCCATTGTCCCTTCCTTCTTTCCTTCCTTTCCTTCACCTCCCTCTTTGTCCCTTCCTCCTTCCCTCCCTCTTTCCCATTTCCCTTCCTTCTTTCCTTCACCTCCCTCTTTGTCCATTCCTCCTTCCCTCCCTCTTTCCCATTTCCCTTCCTTCCTTTTTTCCTTCACCTCCCTCTTTGTCCCTTCCTCCTTCCCTCCCTCTCTCCCATTTCCCTTCCTTCCTTCTTTCCTTCACCTCCCTCTTTGTCCCT